ATGACAGAAGAGCCAGGCCATCTGGGCATTCAGATAGCACAGAAATTATGGGAACTGCGAGAAGAAATACAAATGCTAATAACGGGAGACTGAAACACACGACTTTCAGTCCCAGACGCATCAAAAGGCCAAAAAAATAATACAGAAAACCTAAACAGTATAATCTATGAACTGCATTTCTTGTGTCCGTATCAAACTTTGTACCCCCCAAACAGAGACACTTCCTTTTAATGCACATCGCGGAAACTGACCACATATTAGAGCAAAAGAAACTGCAAAGCTTCACTCAGTGGTTTCAGTGGGATTAAAGGATATAGAAGCACTTTGAAAACTAAAAGTATCAGGGCGCCTGGGTGGCTCAGTCGGTTGAGCGTCTGACTTCGGCTCAGGTCACAGTCTCACAGTTCGTGGGTTTGAGCCCTGCATCAGGCTCTGTGTTGACCACTTGCTCAGAACCTGGAGCCTGCTTTGGATTCTGTGTCTCCTTCTCTCTCTGCCCCTCCCCCGCTCACGCTTTGTCTCACTCTGTCTCTTTAAAATAAATAAATGTAAAAAAAATTTTTTTTCAACGTTTTTTATTTATTTTTGGGACAGAGAGAGACAGAGCATGAATGGGGGAGGGGCAGAGAGAGAGGGAGACACAGAATCGGAAACAGGCTCCAGGCTCTGAGCCATCAGCCCAGAGCCTGACGCGGGGCTCGAATTCACGGACCGCGAGATCGTGACCTGGCTGAAGTCGGACGCTTAACCGACTGCGCCACCCAGGCGCCCCTAAAAAAAAAAATTTTTAATAAAAAAAAAAAAGAGAGAACTAAAAGTATTAGCCAGTATCAGTTACTGGTGCCACCAATACTATGACCGTCATTATTACCATTATTCACGGCTGGTGGTCTTTCTGCTCATTCACTGCTTCTCTTCCAAGTTCTAGAGGACTCTGCCAAACAGGTGAGGTAGAATTATGTAAATATAAATCTTTACTGTCTCCCCTAGAGCTACCAACCCTTCAGTGTTTACCACGTGCCACGTCCCGTGCAGCTTTAAACGTGGGCCTTTCTTAGAAATAGCTAATTGTTTTCATGAAAGTGAGTTTTCTGCTTCTCTTCTATCACCTCTGGGGCCTAGAATAAGTGTTTGGTGAAGACTTATGAACTGAAGTGCACGGATTAAGGACCTACTTCAAAGTCAGATCTGAGTTTCAGACTTCACTCTGGCACTTGCGAGCTGTGTGACCTTGGACAAATTAAATGCCCATTCTGAACCTTAGTTTTCACCTACGTAAACAGAGATAATATACCAGCTAGCATTGTTCAAAAGTTTAAATGTAGTAACACATGTAAAGTGTCCAGCATGGTACCTCATCTACAATAGGCATTCAATAAATGTTAGTCTGAGGTTGAGGAAGGGTAGGTAAAACTCACCAAAACAGATAAACTTAGAATGGGGGTTGTTTTTCCTCAAAAAACAAATAAAAATCATCTTAAATTTTTTTTAACGTTTATTTATTTTTGAGACAGAGAGAGACAGAGCATGAACGGGGGAGGGTCAGAGAGAGAGGGAGACACAGAATCTGAAACAGGCTCCAGGCTCTGAGCTATCAGCACAGAGCCCAACGTGGGGCTCGAACTCACAGACTGCGAGATCATGAGCTGAGCTGAAGTTGGATGCTTTACCGACTGAGCCACCCAGGCGCCCCCCCCCCATCACCTTTAAATAGAAACACCCTCCAATGCATTTGAAATGATTTTTTTAAATATCATGGGGGTAACAGTGAAGTCAGTTCAGGTATACCTGTATTATGGAATACTGCATTGCAATGAAAAAGGAGTGAACTCTATGTTCACCTATGAAAAGATGGCCATGATGTGTTGTTGGGTCTAAAAAAAAAAAAAAAAGGCAAGCTTCAGAGTCTGAACAGAATAGTTCCCTTTCCTGGTTTTTAAAAATTATGTATGGGGGTCCCTGGGTGGCTCAGTTGTTTAAGCGTCCAACTCTTCATTTCAGCTCAGGTCATGGTCTCACGGTTCATGGGATTGAGCCCTGTGTTGGACGCTGTGCTGACAGCACAGAGGCTGCTTAGGATGCTCTCTCCCTCTCTCTGCCCCTCCCCAGCTTGTGCATGCACTCTCTCTCTCTCTCAAAATAAGTTAAAAAATTATGTACGTATAGAGAAAGATCCAGAAGGATATACATCTAATTGTCAAAGGGGAGTGAGATTAGGAACTTACAAGAAGTTTCTCTTTTAACTTTTTACATCCCAGTTTCTTTTGTAATTTCCAACACACACACACACACACACACACACACACGCACACACACACGCACACGCAAAAAAGAAAAAAATAAATAAATAGGACAAAAATTCTCAATTTCTCTTTGGCCTGTCATTTTCATGGGCTTGGGAAGCAGTTTAACTGAACAGAGGAGGTGGTTAATTCTTCTGGCAAGGGAAGGGATTTCCATGCCCAGCTTTTCCTTTTGAGAGAAAGAGGCTCAAGGAAGGGGAGAGGGAGAAAGCACTGCTCCAGCATTACTCATTACTCAGCGGATCCAAACAGGTAGTCCTGTTCTCGTCCCCTGCCACCACTGCAGCCCTGACACAGAGGAACAGAGAAACTCTTTGATAAATGTCAGCTAAAATAGAGCAATCAGCTGAAAGCCATTTGCTGAGCCGTCTGACTGCCCTGGGCTGGAGGTTTTCCTTTATTCATTTATCATGATATACAGCTTTGGCCAACATACACACAGGAGAGAAATTGTTGACATGTGGGACCCAAGTACAGAAAATCTTTCATTTTCCAACCTCCCCCCCCCTCCAACCCTGTCTGTTCACCAAATAAGTTTTTGTTTATTTAAAGACTACAGAGGATTTGGCTGTTAAGAACCAAATGCCTTTGGAGTGGAGTTACAACATAATTTATCATTTCCTCTGTTTATTAAAAAATCCTGCATCTTTGAGAAGCACATTTGCTAGGAGTGGGGGCTTTCGGCCACTCACGAAAGGCTGCTGCAATGCCCCCGCCATGTGGCTTACCCCAAAAAAGGCTCCTCGATTGCTATTTCCATCCCTGTTCTTCCCTCAGCTGACTTCCGATCGTGTGATGGCCACTCAGGGCTGGCGAGAGGGGTTGGACCGAGGACAGGTAAGCGGGGCAGGAGACTGTGTTAGCTTCTTTCATTTTTGACCCGATTCTGACCTTGAACCCCCACTGGCTGTGCACAGTGTGCGCCACTAGTACAAGCAGCGGGAGAAGAGCAGACTTCCCGCAAGGGATGGAATATGAGAGGAGTCAGACAGCAAAGGGAAGCTGGGTGCTGCTTCGAAGGAGTGCGGCCAGGCCTGGCTGCTGCCCAAGGGGGGCCACTCGAAAGGCAGACAAAACTGGAATGGACTTCCTACCTTCCACCCGAGACAGTCCAGTGTGCCGTGCACCCCTCAAAGACAGAGGTCACACCTTACCCATTTTTGCATTCCCAGCATGTAGCACAGCACCTGACACACAGTGTGCTCAATAAATGTTTATGAAGGCTGCAGGATGCGTGGGCAGAGCACAAGCTTTAGATCAGGCCTCAGTTTGAATCCCAGCTCTGCCACTTGCTAGCTGTGTAACAACCCCCGGCAAGAAACTTGACCTCTTTTGAGCTCCTCCCTCTTGGTAAAATGAGACTGACAGTGAAGAATGGAACCTTCTATCACTTGCTAGGCTTATTACTTTGGGCAAGTTACCCAATACTCTCAAGTCCCCTTTCTCAGTTTTTCTATTTGTAAAGTGGAGAGAATACACATCTCGCAAGTGTACCATGAAGATTAAAGATATTGCCTAGAACTGCATCTAGCTCATGACGGCTATATTATGAATGAGAGAAAGGAAAGCAAGAAAGGAAAGGAAGGGAAGGGAAAGGGAAAAAGAAGGAAGAAAGGAAGATTAATTATTATGGAGAATCAATCGATTGTTTACTGGAGAAAAAACCTAACAACCCAGCACCCAAAGATGAGCCACAACAAACCACTTGTCTGTCAACAACAGGCGGGTCCTGGGGGAAAGGTATCTCATCACCAAGTAAATGCTGAGGACAAAGCCAAGGCAAGAGTGGAAAATGACAGAATGATGGTGTTATGATTGGAAGGACGGGAAAAGAAGCCAGTATTTGTTGAGCGGCTACTCTGTGCAATTCATTCACAACACATCTCGATGCCTACTATGTTCCAGACATTACGCCAAGATCTGAGGAAAATGAAGATCTAGAGACTAAGTATCAAAAAGGTTCAATTCAAAGCAGTAGACAGTCCTGAGAGCCAATAATAGGAGCCCTAGGTTGGGGGAATGAGGAGGACTTCCCGGAGCAAGTGGTACCCAAGCAGGGACGTGAAGGATGAACAGGACTGGCCAGGTAGGTCAGCAGCAGAGGAACGGTCGAGGCAGAGAAAAAAGCATGTGTGAGGATGACTCAGAGGCAAAAGTATTGTTCTGGTGGCTTTCCGTAAAGGTCCTTAGGGAACATTAATCCGGATTGACTCTACCCGTTCCTTTGTGGTTGTTATTCTTTACAATTTATTTTGATTTTATTGTTACGTAAGAACAGGCCTCTGGCGAAGGGATCCAGTCACAGGTGAAGGCCCACACCAGCCCAGAGTTCAAAGTTGGGGACAGGGCCTGACTAATTGAAAAGGAGGCTCCCAAGATGAGAAACAGATGGGCTAAGCCTGTCAATAGTCCTAGTTGCTTGGCAATGTCATGATCAGGGCAAATGCCTAAAGTAGAGGCCATCTGTCAGCAACAGATACTCTCTGAGGGCCACCCATGGCAGAGGGCCAGGGCAGAATGGGGTGGACAGGGAGCAGGAAGAAGAGAAGGAACAAGTCTGGGTGCCCCACCAGAAGGCCTGGAAGGCTGAGCCTCACAAACACTGACAACTGCAAGACGGCAGCCTTCGGTGTAGACGGGGAAGAGGGGTGCCAATGTGCCACCCACAGGCTCCACCAGAAACCAGGCTCTGGAGTACTGCTGCCCCTGGTGGGCTTTCATCCGAGGAGTTCTTTGGTCTTCGCTGCCAGATGCCTGTCCAGCTCTGCTGCCGTATCATCGGCCATTTGGCTGATCTGCAGGGACACAAAATGAGACAGCCCGATAACTGAGGCTGGCGAAGGAGAAGGGGACAGACATTCCAAAGCTATGAGGAAGTGATCTGGGAAACGGTAACGGTGACAAAAGCCTCACACTATTCAGGCACCATGCTGATTCCTAACAGCAGCCCCATGAAATAGATACAATTATTATCCCCATTTCACAGATGAGGAAACTGGGGCAGTGAATCACTTGTTCAGGATACACAGCTCAGTTAGCAATGACAAAATTGAATCCTGAGTAGTCTGATTTCACAGCCCAAAATTCTTAAATATTATTATAGAATACAGAGAAGCCAGCTTTCTCTGTCATTTAATGACCCTCTAGAATTTCCTACACCTCAGACACTCTGCTATCTAAATCCCATACTAATTGATAAGAACATTAAGATCCCAATAGTTTAAGCAGAAAAAAGAAGTCCTGAGAAAAGATGAAGTAAATCTGGTTAACAAACCTGGGAAATTCATCAGACACAGAAGAAATGCAAATGGAAACAAGATATAATTCAGTTATTGTAGTTAACAAAATCTGATGTTGTCGTTTTTAATTACAATATTCGACTCCAGAAAGCTATGGTAAAATGGATAAGCTCGTACATCAGTGAAAAGAATTCAAGTGGATGCAAATGTCCGTAACATTTTTTCACCCCCCAAATCTCTCCACTGGGAAATTACCACATGAATGGAATCTGAAAAAAATTTCTAACGTTCTATATGCAAATACATATTTTATATATATATATATATATATATGCGCTTTATTTTTAATAACGAAAAGTCAAAAAATCTAAAGTGATAGAACAGGGAAGCGTATGAGTACATACAGCCGTTAAAAATGGCAAAGACTGTCTATTTCTCGTGGTGAGGGTACAAGTACGAGAAACACAAAACAACTTAGTAAGTGCGGCAGCTTCCCTCCCACGTCTAAAAGGGACCCGAGGCAGGAAGCCTTGAAGGGGGCAGCACGGGGCCCAGGATGTGTGTGCTCAGTGGCACAGCAGCTGTTTGACATCTTTATTTGCAGACCACAGGCCTTGGCCAGGAACTGGGAACTAAATGCACTGTGGAAAGGGAAGAAACTAAAAAGGATTTGGAGCAACTGGCCCCGGGCAGGGAGACAACCAGGCTCTCACCATAGCAACAGCTGCTTGTTTGTAGCTGGGAAAGCACCGCTTCAGGGGCTGCTGGGCACGCGGCTGGGCTCCAAACGGCCGCTTGGGCCCTCCTCACTCAGCCACATACTCTTTAGATGCTCTGCCCGCTGCCCCCCGCCCCCCGCCCCCCGCCCCCGGGGCGGCCACCTTGCACGACGCGTGGCATGGTGCCCGCAGCACTCCAGCGCCTGGAGGCCGGCAGCCTGGGAAGGCAGGAGCCAGCATCACAACGCTCCTCTGGGAAAATGGCGTGGAGGGCAGTTTGGGTTCAAGAGTGGGGACCAGGGGGAGGAAGAATACCTAGGGTAACAGTGCGATAATGTGGGTGCTGGATTACATTCTCGGTGGGATAACAATGTGCAAGTCACTGAGCCTCGCTTTCCTCATCTCTCAAATGGGGACGCTGGGCCCTTCCTCAGAGTGGTTGTGAAGGGCTAAGAGCGTTCATCGATATGCAGGCACAGCGTAAACGGCTTATTTGCTATGCAAATCGGCTTGTGTTACTCTGAGTTTATCATTTCCTGACTTCAAGTTAATCGATTCATGGAAATATTTACTAACTTTCTACCAAATTGTAGGCACAAAGTGCCCCTGGGGACAGTCAGGCTGCAAGTTCATCTTGTCTGTCTTCGTCAGACTTCTTAAGATAATGATCACCAACAATGACCCCACTGCCACCAGCAGCTCCCTCTTACTGAGTATCACTACATATCAGACACTGGGCTAAAAACTTCCTGTGCACTATTTCACATGATCCTCAAAACATATGAAATGCTGTTATTATCTCCCTTTAAAACATTGTGAATATTTCATTAGCTCACCTGCCGGTGGCACAGCAGTTCTTTAGTATGCAAAGGGGTTTTGTCCTCTGTTATTTCATTCAAATCCAACAACCACACATAACCTCTGTAAGGCAGGTGGGTCAGGTATTATCCCCACTGTACAGAGGTAAACCAAGCCACAAAATGTTAACTCTCCTGCCCAAGGTCACATCAGAAAGTCAGTGGTGAGACTGAGTGAGGAACTCACCCACCCCAACTGCCAGTTTGGTGCCGCGACTCCCCTGGGGAGTCCCCCCACCCCTCCGGCACCAGTGGAACTGGGTGAGGGTCACTCCAACAGCCGATCCCAGCTCTACATTCAAAGGGTGGGGAAAGGAAAGGGACGGGCAAATATAGCGGACGCTTAGCGAGGACCAGCAACCCCACCAGCCGCGTTTAATATATGTCCTTTGGTCTTCTCGCCAGTCCTGGGAGATAAGACCCACTACTCCCACTTTATAGAAGCTCAGAAAGGTGAAGCCGTTCGCTAACCTGAGCAGCTGAGAAGTAAAAGAGCTGGGACGGGAGTCAGTCAGGCCTGACTGCCGGCAGAGCAAGAGTCCTTTCCGTTTTAATACACTGCCTCATAGAGATCACATCACCATCACCCTACCGCCACCACATCTGCTCCCTTCTAGTGCAGGAGAGGGGAAGGCAGAGACAGGAAAGGGGATGGCGGGAGCACAGGGCGCACCGGGGCGGGCTGGGTAAAGTCAGCCTTCCCGAGGCCTGTCGGAACACCCAGGGCCTCACCTGGTCCAGCCCCCTGCCTGCGTGCCTGTCCTGTCCGCTAGGAGCCCTGCCCTCCTTCAGCCACCAGCACCCAGCCTCACTCAGAGCAGCAAGCTCCTCAGAAAAAGACGGCAGTGAAAGATCTTGGCCAGATGTACTGGTGGTTTCTGCCAAGTGCTTTCATGCTCGGCAGGCCCATTTACTGACGCAAAGGTGAGAGAGCAGGCTGGCGGATGTCCGAGTCCCAGGAGGGCAGGCCCCTGTCCTTCTTCAGCAGAGCTGGCCTGGGCTGAGGACTGGGAGGGTTGGGGTGGGGGTCAGAAGGGACTCTAGGGATAGAACCCACAACCAAATCCTTCCATTTTTATACACCAAAGAAGGAAGAGTTTTATAACATAGTTTTTAAAAATCTGACCTCAAAAGAATTTTGGAACATACAAAAAAATGTCCCACAAAGAATAATATTGAAATTGCTCATAATCCCATTGCCTGAAATGATGAACAACATTCTCTAGTGGATAAGATGCCACCCTTTTTTTTAAGATTTTATTTTTAAGTGATCTCTACACCCAATGTAGGGCTCAAACTCACAAGCCCAAGATCAAGAGCCACATGCTCTACCGACTGAACCAGCCAGGCACCCCTAAGCTGCCAATCCTTTTATGTACATGAAAGGTTCTGTTATAAAAATGGAGTCGTATTATACTATTGCTATGTAACCTACCTTAAAAGAATAAATTCCAGGGCTCCTGGGTGACTCAATTGGTTAAGCGCCCGACTTTGGCTCAGGTCATGATCTCGCAGTTTGTGAGTTCGAGCCCCGTGTCGGGTTCTGGGCTGACAGCTCAGAGCCTGGAGCCTGCTTCGGATTCTGTGTCTCTCTCTCTCTCTGCCCCTCCCTGCTTGCACCCTGACACACTCTCTCTCTTTCTCTCTCTCAAAAATAAATATTAAATAAATAAATTCCAAAAGAAACTTACCATATCTGCAAAATATTTTTTATAACTGTCTCTATACAGAGATTCCAGTAAGTGGATGTAACACAATTTATTTTCCCACTGTCAGAAATTTAGACAGTTTCCATTTCCAACAGATACCTCTGTAGGTAAGATTCTCAACAATTTTATTTTGGATAAATTCCTAAGCCACTGAATCAGAAATGTATGGATTTTGGTACATATTGCTATATTATTTTAGAAAGGTTGTATAGATTTATACAAAGAATAACTTAATCTTTTCTGTGGAGTGTAGAAACAAAAGCAATACTTCCAAGATAAGCAGCATTTCAACCTCACACTAAAAATTCTGGGTTCAGATGTTAGGCATTAGAAAAGGCAACAAATTTTTAAAAATATACATATTCTAAAAACCTTGCGAGTGATTTAGGCAGTAAGAATCTTAAAAATATGCATTCCCGTTGTGCAATAATTCCACACTTGGGACTCTATCCTAGGGAAATCATCTCTACAAAGATTTATGTATAAAAATATTCACTGCAACCTTATTTATAACAAAAAAGTTTAAACAAACTAAATGTCCAACAAGAGGCTTATGAAAGTGAATTATGGTATAAACCACAAGACAGACTATTTCGTAACCATCAGAAATGGCTGTTTAAGACACGAGAAAATGCTAATGGTTTTAATGCTAAACAGAAAATATAAAAAGCTGAGTACAAAACTGTATGAATACTACATTCTCAGCCGTGTTAAAAACTGTGTAGTTAAAAAAAAAAAAAAAAAGAGGGAAAGCAGAAATACTCCAAAATGTTAAGAGCAGTTGTCTCTGCAATGTGGGTTTATGGTGTGGATTTTCCCCCCATGTTTTAAAACAGTCTTCTGAACTCTACATTTTCTACAGTGAGCATACATTACACTTTAATAATCAAGAACAAAGTAAACAAATACATTTTTACAAACTTTGATAAAATAACAATCAGCTTGTCTCACTTATTCAAAAAACCAAAACAAAAAACACACACCCAAAACTCCAGATTAGTGCCTTCTGTCAGAGAAAAAGAATAAAACAAAGTGTGCACCAGTCTGTCTCCTGAAGATTTTCTTACTCAAACTTTTAACCATATGACAATAAACTATTAATCTAATGATAAGAACTCACATTTAAATGATAATATCTTAAATAATAAAGGTTCTTGCACTGGATATATTATGTATATACACGGTGATCCTTTCTCTTGTAATATGACGTTATACCTTTCCAGAGATAACTTGAAGGTCTGCACTAGAATGTTAACAATGGTCATCTCTGGGGGATGAGATTCCAATTACTATCTTCTTATTTAAAAAAAAAAAAATTACATTAAACATGTATAAGCTTAGCATCAGAAAACTAATAAAGTTATCTTCATTTTGAAAAATAAGAATAGTAAACAGTTGTAAGTATTGAAGAAAAAAATCTAGTCTAAATCGGAAGGTGAAAAGCCAGGTGCTAGTGTGAAGGCTTCTAGCCACTTTGTCAAGTGGGTTTTATCAAGAGTATTGCTTATCTGATCATTCTTCCCATTGCAGGGAACACAGGCTCTGGTCCCTGAGGCACAGGGCCAGTCTTGTTGAGTGAGGAGTGCCTGGCAGGCTCCCGAGGTCCACGGGCCTACCACTAAGAAGCAGTGAAAAGGTCTAGTGTTGACTGTAGAGACAGACTCTCCTGGGGATGGACAAGGAGCTGGCCCAGGTGGGGCCAGGGACAGACTCCTGCAAGGCAGGATGGGTGCTCAGAAAGGCCAGCCTAACCCAGGAGCCTCTTTTAGCTGGTACAGGGAAAAAAGAGAAGAAGAGGGCACAAAGAAGGTGAGAAGGGAGCTCTGAGAGTCCAGGAGTTGGATATTCTAAAGGTGCTTCTAACATCTCCAGGGCAACCCTTTAAGGCAGGAATTAAAAATCCCTTTTTACAGAACAAACGGACTACAAGGAGTCAAGAAATGTCCCCAGGGTCACAGGACATCAAGTGCAGAACTCCCTTGATCTAACTCTGGTATCATCACAGGGGTACACCGTAAGGCTTCTAGGTCATTAATTACCTTCTGTGTCTGCTTTTGCAGAATTATCTGGGCAGCTTT